GTGTTCTTCTGGGGCCTGGAATCCAGTCAGGGGCTGAGAATGGTTAACTATTTGAGTCCCAGGGGGTTTAGCATCAGAGGCCCAAGGGGTAGTCAAGAGAGATGCAAAATCTGTGCATCTTGCGTTCATTGGGCCTCTAGGCGAGAACACATGAACGTATGATGTGTTTCTTGGGACTCAGAGAGATAAAGCATATTGTATTTTTTGCAAAAAACATAAAGTGTGTATCAGTTTTACAGAACTAATTACAAAAACAAAACAAAAAAATAACAAAGGCATTGCAAGCAACTTGCCTACATCAGAAAGCAGTGATAAGAAAAAGAACAGAACACAATAAAATTAACTGACTCTGAAATAACTACGTTATGGTATTTGGATATTCTGTTAATAAAAGAAATAAGGTAATAATAAATGATAAAATTATCTAAAATACTTGACATCTGTGAGTTTATGAAGGAAAGAACTAAAGCAAGTATTTATAAAGAAAACAGTAAACACAGGCATAATTTATTAGTAAAGAACTAAAATAGGAATTATATATTAAGAAGATTTTGATTAATTATTAAGTATAATTTTGACTTCTTGTTTAGGTTGTTGGTGGAAAAGATGCAGCAGGTCAGGACTTAAGTGTCATCCAGCCATCATGGACAGAGGATAATGAATTGCTCTATATTGGGGATCAGTCTGAATGGTGGAACCTGTATCATGTGACCAACTCAGGGAAGCATGTGAACCTGCATGATATAAATGCTGAGATTGGTGGACCACAGTGGACTTTTGGGAGAACTTCCTACGTCATAGAGCCCAATGGAGGAACAAGGATCATCACATCCTTTCAAGGGGTGAGTGATGTTTTCTAGAGTTAACTTCCATGACAAATATTACTGTTGAGTGTGTAGATCAGGGCTATTAAACTAACTTTACTAAGAGGCAAAAATTATGAAAATGGGGATTTGTTACGAGCCAGAGCTTGAACCCCAGCAAAGAAAGATTGGCTATCCTCCGAATAACGGACACTAAAGATGGCGGCCGCAAAATATCCTAACGAGCCTCAGTCACGTGTCAATTGGGCACTTGCGGTCATGACCACATTGCGGGAAAACTAGGATTAGAGTCTGTTGACAATTTTGAGAAGCGGAACAAACCGCGGAGTTAAACTCGCCGCCGAGAGTCTCCCCCGCGCCGCTACGTGTGGCGCGGATGGGGCTAAACTAGATGGCTGGGACCCACGAGCAGCAGCTTCTGCATCTCCTGCAGTGTCCTTTTTTATTTGCTCGTGTGGGAGGCTCTCGGCGGAGTGTTCATCAGAAGGAAGTCAGCAATTTACGCGTGAGTGATGCTCCGATCGTACTTAGCCGAGTTTCAATGGCCTAACAGCCACAAACAGCAGATTTTCGGGCACCATTTACAACTTCTGTGCCATAATTTCCAGATATAAAGGCATAAAAATTATTGGTTCAGTAGTCGATTTGATATAACATTTTTTTCGTTCCTTATTAGTTTTGACTTCAATTTTTGAATGTTTACAACACATGACATGTGACTGAGGCTCGTCAGGATATTTGCGGCCGCCATCTTTAGTGCCTGTTATTCGGAGGATAGCCAAAAGATTACTAGTACTACACAAGTGGCAATAATCTGCAGGCCACTTGCTAGGCCTCCATGGGTCAGATTTGACCTGTAGGCCACCGGTTGAATAACACTGATGTAGACTATAGCATACTGAGGTGGTGTTCAGTTCTTTTTTTCTGCCACCTCAACTTCCTAGACATTCACCAAATAATCTAAGCTTAAGATGAAACAAACAATGGGGACGACAATAAAGAAAGAGGATATTGGCACCTATCAGGCAACTATGTCAAGCATGCTCATGGAGATAACCACAACTTCCAGAGCTCTAGCAAGGGCAGCAGAACAAGCAGCCATGCATGATGTATTTTCTAGCCTCTAAACCACAGACACATGCAGTCTGGGAAAGCTTTTGTTAAATATCAGCTTTCAGATAGGATCTTAACTGGGGTTATTGAACTTTTGAACATCTACTGTTAAATCCTCTTGAGCTTAAAGTTGGCTGAAATATAAAAACAATAATGAGAAAGAAGTATATTTCAATAGTAATGTTAAAAAATAAACATTTTGGAAAGTGTTTTTGTGCTTTGCAGCTTATTTAATATATGGTGCAAACAAACAGATTTTTTTAAAAACCAGATGTTAAAAAAAAGTTGGAACTTGTAGACGCACTATTATGATCTTTTATTCTTTATATGATCTTTTATTCTTTATATGATCTTTTATTCTTTATATGATCTTTTATTCTTTATATGATCTTTTATTCTTTATATGATCTTTTATTCTTTATATGATCTTTTATTCTTTATATGATCTTTTATTCTTTATATGATCTTTTATTCTTTATATGATCTTTTATCAGATTGTAAAAACAAGTAAACTTTTTGCTTACCTTTTTCTTATCAGAATACTAGCTGTACCCGGCCACGCGTCGCTGTGGCATAGTTTGGCTAAATGGAAAAGAAAGAAAATAGAAATTGCACGTGTCTAATATGGTTACTGTCGCAATCATTGACTGCGCACATACAGAGATAGTCTTCGATGCCCCCCCCCCCCTTCCCAAATCCACCTACTACTCGCTTCCTCATCAAAGGCTTTTGGAAAAGAAAGACAATAAAAATCGCACGTTTCTAATATAGTTAATGTCGCAATCATTCTCTGCACAAATATAGAGATAGTCTGGTTAGCCACTTTAGAACACGCAACATATAATTGCGTCTTTATATTAGTGGTCGTTTAAATGCTTATTTGGTTATCACATGCTAAAGCTGTTTGTATTTTTGTTAAGAGACGGAAGTAAAGCTTACTTCTGTACTTGTAAATAACCAAGTAAGTCATTAAAAAAATGAGAATAGCGGAGGTAGCGTTAGTAAAATATAAACAAATTAAGAAATGAAAACTTTAAAATCATGCGTTAAGCTCTTTAAGTTAACAGTTTCTGTCATCACCCCCTCCCCTCCCCCATCTGCTCTCTCTCTCTCTTATCGAAGGATTTGAAAGTCATCACATTTTTTTTAACTGACGTTGATATCCGGACTAAAATAGGGAGCAGGAATTGTGATGAGTGGTAAATGCGGCTAGTGTAATATTTACCACACTATCCTTCAAGTACCAGTACAACTACTACCCCCACCGCTACCACAATAAATAAAATAATGTCACTGCTATCTGTTTTATCGTAGTAGTAGACAGGGAGTTGTGAGCCAGAGGATTTGGCACCGCAAGACTAATGCTGTCGGCACGGACTGGTCAGGTTAGGATGTGTAATTTCGCTCCCTGACAGAAAAATGCCATCACCTTACCGGCGGTCTCCGGCATGACAGCACTACAGTATAACTGCTCAATCACAACAACTACTACTGCTACTTTGAGTGGGTAAGGCAGTTACTTTGACTTGAAGCTCTTTCAGTTACCAGTTTATGCCGATCGCCCATGCGCATTTACTAACGTGGCTATAATTAAATGCCACTACAAATGGAAATATTAGTTTCGAAGATTTTTGCAACAGATGTGGTCACCTATCTCTAACAATGACAGATAGAATTTCAAACCATGATGGTTAAACATCCGGTATCAAAACAAACATATCCTGAAAATTTCAGCTAAATCGGTTCTGTAGTTTCCGAGTCTATAGCTCATAAACAAACACACAAACATTGATTTATATATATATATATATATATATATAGATAGTTTGATGTAGGTGTCTGTTGGATCAAACAAAACAATTGGTTGTAATTTCCTTCTAATTATCTTAGAGTTTTAGTTCTGTTTGTGTTGGGAATTGATGTACAGCAAGCTAGTTGTGGTCAAACCCCTTTAGGAGCAACTGAACACTGCTGAAGCGTGAATAGATTATACAGTGTGGAGATGATGGTAGAGTGAGGAGTGACTAGGGGATCTGGCTGACACTCTACACTCAGAGGAAAAGCAAATCACAGACATAAAATCAAAATGCTCCTTGCCCAAATGGTATTAGCTGATTGTTTTTTCAAAGAAGACCTTGGCTTCCAGGTCGACTTAGTCTTAGTCTTAAATCAGTACCAGATAAAATCATGGGAAGTAAAGGTGACTGATGCGTTGTTGTCCACATCACCCACAGATTGCCACTTGTTCTATAAAATATAGGTCTAGCCCTATGGGCCCAATACACCTGAAAGATGTGGAAGAGGGTCCTTTACTTTTATTTTACTTACCATAGGCATTGGAACTCTTTCTGCCTGCTGAAGATACAAACTGTGTATTGGAACGTCCCTAGTGCTGTAAGTTATTAACTCATCTCAATGCAGCTCCTTCTAATTATAATGAGAACCTCCAAAAGAAGCAATTGTATTGTTCCTTTCAAATATAATGGAACTTCCAAAAGAAGCAATTGTATTGTTCCTTTCGAATAAAATGAGAACCTCCAAAAGAAACAATTGTATTGTTTCTTCCGATTATAATGAGATCCTTCAAAAGAAGCAATTGTATTGTTCCTTCCGAATAAAATGAGAACTTAAAAAAAAGCAATTGTATTGTTCCTTCCGAATTTAGTGAGAACCTTCAAAAGAAGCAATTGTATTGTTCCTTCCGAATATAATGAGAACCTTCAAAACAAGCAATTGTCTTGTTCCTTTCTAATCTAATGAGAACTTTAAAAAAAAAAAGCAATTGTATTGTTCCTTTCAATTATAATGAGAACCGTCAACAGATGACAGTTAGATTTTTGTCTTCTAAATATAATTAGAACCTCCAGCAGGAACAGTTGTATTTTTCCTTCTAAATATAATGAGATTTTCTATTAGACAACAATTGTATTTTTCATTCTAAACATAACGAGAACTTTTATCAGGCAACAATTGGATTTTTTCCTTCTAAAGATATAATAAGAATCTTCAACAGATGACAGTCATGTTTTTTTTTTTTTTAAACAAAATGATAACTTCCAACAGGAGTTTGGTGTCCTGGATTTAAAAACAAGAAATTATAAAAAAGTGGACACTGGGCTGCTAAAACATGACAGATATGGCTGGACTGGGGCAGGATCTGTTTACTGCATTGCTTTCAGCGAGATCAAGGTGCCACGGATACTTCGAGTTGACATTGACAGCGGAAAGGTCTGTGCTTTAAAGCTGTCTCTCTCATTACATTTTCATATGTTTAGTTTAAGATTAAATTTGTCTTTGTTTTGTTTTGTTTTTTAATATATAAAAGCTTGCTTCTTCTTCTTTGCATTCAATGGCTGTAAAGTCCAGAAGAAATTCTTGTTGTTCTTCCACTTATGAACTTTAGTCTTGTTCTAATTGTTCTAAAATATTGTTCTAAAATATTGTTCTAAAATATTCTTCTAAAATATTGTTCTAAAATATTGTTCTAAAATATTGTTCTAAAATATTGTTCTAAAATATTGTTCTAAAATATTGTTCTAAAATATTGTTCTAAAATATTGTTCTAAAACCTGAGTTTTGTGTGCACATCAATTTTCCAGGTCTAGTTTTTCATGTGCGTACTGTTGGTTCCTCAGCTCTTGAGCAGATGCAACAGGACTTTCAAGGAGACAGCCCTAATGAGACTACTTTATGACTGTTAGGAGGCAGTGGGTTTTTTTCCTCTCCTCAAAACAGGGCCCCGGAAGCCACTCATGGAGTTTGTTGTATATAAGATTTCAGGTTTGAACAACAGTTCAACATCATGGCACACGGGTAGTAACCCATAAGTGGTCTCTTTTTCTTCTAACTTAAGTCTGAGTCTGAAGAAGCTCAGCACAGTGCACAGGCTCTGTAGCACCGATGAGACTCCTGAAATACTTTGGGTAGATTTTTAACTCTAAATTTGTGCCCGGTCAGCAATTTAGGCTACTCTTTTCGATTTCCAACAGCCATGGGATTTTTTTTTTTACATGCACAGCAATGCACACGGGTGCCCGATCTCACTATTCAGAGACCAGGGGGAATTACTAGAAATCCACATGAAAAAATCCCAGCACTTACTGGGGATTGAACAGGAATGTTAAAATATATGAGGAGAAAATAAACAAAAATGAAAGACAATTATCAACCATAAATACTAACATCTCATTAATTCTAACTTGTGTGTAGACATTGATCCTAAATACTGGCCTCCAGTCGTGAAAGGACATAGTCACTGATGCCAAATTTGGCTTTGCATAAATATGTACTTTGCACAGTTTATTGCCAGGCATATTCTGCTTATTCAGAGTAGGAGAAACAATTGACTTGCTTTAACCCATTCACCCTGATGACCTAGAAAAAAGAATAAAGTCAAGCTCCCATAATTTTAATTTTTTTGGGAAAAAATCATTAGAAAGATCAATTATTTTACACAAGACACACACACGCGCGCGCGCACGCACACACACACGCGCACACACGCATGCGTGCACGCACACACATACACAAATCATACAAAATCAATACAAGAAAAATACTTTAGATAGTGGGGGGAGGGGAGGGTGTGGTAATCAACATAACAAAAAGCAGAAGGTTTACATCTTTTGTGCCCTGTAAACTAATTATAGCTTGACCCTTACTTGACTCTGTGACCCAATTGCCTGCTAACCACTATAGCCATCCCCTGTCATGCTGAATGTTTGCACCCACACAAATGCAGTGAATTCTGTAAACTAGGCATCTCATAAATATGTTTCTAAAGCAAGTCAGGAAAGCATTTTTTATGGTAAAATGATCCCAAACAGGAGAGCTGGTTTTGTGGCTTCTCTGGATGCAAGGTTAACATCGCTCTGTTCACTGTAACATTCACAATGTGGTAACAGCTGTATTATGATCAGGTTGATGTCATCCATGAGTCCCAAAAGATATCCATAGACAGCGGCTACTTCAGCATCCCCCAGAAAATCAGCTGGCCTACATCACATGGGGACACATGTTATGGTTTGTACTACAAACCTGCCAACAAGGATTACCAGCCTCCCAAAGGTATATTAGCTTGCTGTTGTAGTGTATTGAGTGTATCAGTTCATACTGTATTGTGGATTATACAGGTACAGTCATAGATTATAAAGACGTAGTAGTGGCATCCGTGGCTTAGGTGTTGCGAGTCTGACTCGTAATTTCAACGTACCGCGATCGAAACCCACTTCTAGCTGCATGGATTTTTATCATTGTATGGGTTGTCGCGGGTCGATCCAGCCTAAAATGGGTACCAGGATGTATGTTCTGGGGAAGTAAAGTCGGCCGGTGTAATGCTGACCACATTACTCACCTAGCGCCGAATGGTCTGTAAAAATATGTGCTATTTCCATATTCCCATATACCTGATGCACCTAAAAGGCATGAAAATGTATCTTTACTTACTGTATTTTACTTTTTTTATACATATAGTATTTGTATAATGCTGTTTTTTTTTAACATACTGTATATTATAATATACACATAAAATATTTCATCATCATTATCTTTCCTACCAAGTGAGTAGGCGCTTATATCTATCCACAGATCTCAGTCCTTGGTACTTATGATCAACTCCACCAATGACATTTTCCATGCCATCACTTCAGGTCATCAAGCATCATCTCTATTAGTTTCCCACTGCCTCTTCTACCATAGATCTTTCCTGTCATTAATATTTTCCCCAGTGCCTTTTTTTTCTCATCACATGACTAAACAGCACTGACTGCTTCTTTCTTATAGTTGTATATAGTTTTTTTTAGCCAGTTCCAGGTCAGCCATATGGCAGTTTTAATCTTCTTCTTCTTCTTATTCTTCTTCTTCTTCTTCTTCTTCTTCATCTTCTTCTTCTTCTTCTTCTTCTTCTTCTTCTTCTTCTTCTTCTTCGCATTCACCAGCTGTAAACTCTGGCGGAAAGTTCTGGTTTTTTATGCACTTCTGGACTGCAGTCATGTTCAGAACCTGAGTGTTGGGTATGAATCCGTTTTAGAGATATGACTCATTTGTTTGCAGAAGGCTGGTGCCTTGCCTCTCAGGCAGATGCACTCCGAATTTGAAGGAAGCTCCCAATTAGTCTATGGGTAGGCAGTGGGTCTGTTCTTGCTTTCCCTATAATAGGGCTCTGGAACCCACACAGGGAGGAGCTTGCATCAAGCTGTAGGTTGTGTGTGTGCTACTCCACCTGTAAACTGATCTTGTTGAAATATTTGTATCTCAATTCGTGTCCTCACCTTCCCAGGAGAACTGCCTCCTCTGTTGGTGCGAGCTCATGGAGGACCAACAGGTGGTTACGCCCCGATCCTGGATCTCAAGCTTCAGTACTTCACCAGTCGTGGGTTTGCAGTTCTCTGTGTGGACTACAGAGGCAGCACTGGGTATGGCAAGCAGTACCGACATCGGCTACGGAATATGTGAGTTGACATTCTGTTGTAAATAAACAACAATCCTAAGTAGTTAGCATGCTAGCTTATCAAGATTCAAGAGGCGCTGTGTCTTGCAAGGCATCTAGAAAGAAAAAAGGCATCTGAACAGTGAAGACAGGCTAGTGAGACCTGTATAGCAGGCCTTTCATCTACAGTTATAGAAGTTCAACAGATGATTCATGATAATTCCTGCCCAAGTGATTTGATTATCTATACTGATGGCTCTGTGTTGAGGGGCAGACGAAGTGCATAGGGGTTTAAATGGATGTCGCTTAGTGCCACAAAACCTGGCATATGATATCACAACGTCTAGTTTGAGACAGGAGGTGTAGGCTTGAGTGCTGCCTTCCGCTGGCTTGAGAATCGGTTGTACACACATGCCGTCATTGTCACTGACTCACAGAGCATGTTGACAAAGGTGGAGACAGGTATGCTTCATGCAGAGTGGCAAGCATCACTTCAGAGGTCCCGGGTAATGAGTATTTTTTGGATATTCTCTCAGATCATGCCGGTGTGTTGATAATTGAGCAGGCAGATAGACTGGCCGGTTCTGCACCACTTTGTGGTGAATTGATGTATGACAAGCGAAACGTTGTGAGGGCCCTTTCCGCGAATGAACAATGCAGAAGCTCAAATAGATCATTACGATCTGAGGAGAATGGCGCTGTGAGGAGTTACCTGGGCATATGGCCGATAAAGGGCGATACGGATATCCAGATAGTTACTGGTGCTCTTGGAATTGGAACTCTTTGTGTGCTGCTGAAGATGGGGATGGAACACTTATGGGGTGTCCCAAGTGCTATGATGTCGATTCTTAATTCAACTTTCAACAAATCTACAGTCACTGTTCCCTGCCCTCATTGTCCTAGATCCTTCTAGGGAAAGTGTTGAATTAAGAATTGACATCACAGCATTCAGGATATTCCCATAAGCACTCTGTCCTCATATTCAACAGCAGGCATAGAGTTCCAATTCTGTTAGCACCTGTAACAGTCTGATTGCAAATCCATCTGGCCTTTTTCTTGAGTGTTGAGCATTGGCCAGATTCTCTGGTTACTCCTCGCAGCACCATTCTCTTCAGACCAGGATGATCTGTTTGTGCATTGCACTCTTCACTTGCTCCCAAAGGAACTGATCACTTGCTCCCAAAGGAACTGATCACTCACTCCCAAAGGAACTGATCACTCACTCCCAAAGGAACTGATCACTCGCTCCCAAAGGAACTGATCACTCCTTCCAAGGGATCCTTACAACAGCTAGCTTGTCATGCATCAGTTCATACCAGTTATGCAGAACCCTTTCTGTAAAAGTGTTTGATGTAGAATGTAGCAAATCATTTAGGCTGACACTCTACAGTGAAACAGTAGATACTGACTCTACATATTTGATCTCACAGTAACGATACAGCAAAATCTTTTTTACACATACTTACTCACTTCAGAATACTCGGTTGACATTAATAAAGTGTTGGTCCCAGCAGGGATGTATTATTATTAGTCTTTGATTAACATGCATTTTTGTCAAAACCAACCATTAATTTTTCAGTCCCTTTGAATTAGTGTCAGTGAGGTTTAACTGTATGTAGCTGGTATCGCTGATTTCTGTAAATGTTATTCAAATAAAGTAAGCAAACAGTCAAGGACTCTATTTCATGCCAGTGGCAATCAGGCATTTCATCTTCCTTGCGTTTACCGGTTGTAAACTCCAGCGGAAAGTTCTGGTTATTCACCAACCTCTAGACTTTAGACCTGTTCCAGAACCTGAGTGTTGGGTGCACATCCGTTTTACAGATCTAGCTTATTTGTATGCAGACCGTTGTTTCCTTGCCTCTCAGGCAGTCGCACTCCGATTTCAAAGGAAGCCCTCCAGTTAGTCAACTCTTATGACATGCTTTTTGGAGAGGCAGTGATTCTATTATTGTTTTCCCCACAATGGGGCTCGGAATCCACACACAGATTCACGCATATTGTTTAGTAAACTCATATTTCTATAGACCGAAAGTGATTGTATCAGAGCTGCCATTACTTCCCAAGATCATTTCCTGTTATCCATTTTAGGCTGGACTGACTTGGGAGCCAAGGTCAGTTAGTATTTTTCTAAACCTACTAAATATTTAAATACTGGAAATAAATAATGGGTTTTAGAAAGGATTAGTTCAGAGGGGTTCTCAGTAGTCAGTACAAGGGAAGGTGAGGAGATGAACTGAGATTGATGGTACCAGTACCATCAGTATTGGAACTCTGCGCTGGCTGCTGAAGATGAGGCTGGAGCAGGCTTTGGAATGCTCTGAGTGTTGTGATGTCAATTCTTGGCTCAACTTAACACAGTTCAGAGGAGTTAAGAACCTACATTACAGAACTCTGGACATTCCCATAATGTCTTCCTCAGCCAAGAGAGTTCCACTTTTGGTGGTACCAAAAGCAGATTGTATGCCCTTCTTGCCTTTTTTTCCCCTTAGTTTTGAATGTTGGCCAGGTTCCCTAGTCACTCCCCCACTGTACCACAGACATGATCAGTTCACACTTCCATACGGTCGACTTGCACATTAAAGAGCCCATGCCACAACTAGCTTGTCATGAATCAGATCAAACCCCACTAAAGCTCTGCCTGTTCATTTATATTAAAATGATTGTCATAACCACATACAAATTCTTGTAACTGTTTAAAATATCATAACCACATACAAATTCTTGTAACTGTTTAAAATATCATAACCACACACAAATTCTTGTAACTGTTTAAAATATCATAACCACATACAAATTCTTGTAACTGTTTAAAATGTCATAACCACATACAAATTCTTGTAGCTGTTTAAAATTTCATAACCACATACAAATTCTTGTGACTGTTTAAAATGTCATAACCACATACAAATTCTTGTAACTGTTTCAGGTGGGGAGTTTTCGACATAGATGACTGTAGCTCAGGAGTCAAACACCTGATTGATATTGGAGAAGTGGACAAAGACAGAATCTGCATTGATGGTCGTTCTGCAGGGGGATACACCACTCTTGCCTGCCTCACATTCACAGATGTCTTCAAAGTGGGTAAGTTAAATCATGCATTGTCTTGAGTGGCCGGCCATACAGATGGAAATACTGCTCTCAGTGAAGAGATGGATCTAATGCTATCTTAAAAAGGCTGAGAACACTGTGATAAAGCTTAAAACAAAGTATGATAGAGAGAGGATTTACTTCATTGCATGGCTCTTTTCACTTTTTATCCACTTGTGTTGGTTTTTATTCCCTCTGGCCCAGTCTCTTTCTACAACATAACTAGCCATCTGACGATAGCACTGCACAAGGCACACAATCTTTAGCTTCAGTGATAATCCTAAGAGATTATCATTAAAAAATAATGCACTTATGAACCAGCCTTCCAACTACCCAGAACATTTTCTTTGCATTAGTTTAATAGGCTTGATTGACATTAGAACAGTGTGTGCTATAAAAATCTGTAGGTCTCAATGGATAGTTGAAACTAGGGCTTTGGGAGAGAGAAAAAACAGTAGAAGAGAGCTGAGTTGTTAAAGTACTTCATCATGTAACATAGCACTGTTATATTAGTATGATCTGCGGCTGGCTGAGTGATTAGATTATTGGATTCTCATGTGGAAGACTTCAGTTCAATTACTTTGTAAGTTGATGGACATTTTTTACTTCAAGTGAAAAATAAGAATACATAATTCCTACCCTGCATAATTTATGGTAACAGCACTAACAGTACAGCCCTCAGTCCTTAGGCTCACTATCCACTTGCCCTAAACACAGCACTGCTGGCACCTCTCCATCTTTCCAGGCAGTCATTCTATTGTGTATAGGGAGGGATGGGAATCAAAACACATGGTGATACCAGTTAAGGCCTGTGATGAAGTTCCTTCTCTCCATAGCATAAATTAAAGGACCCTTTTCCTTGCCTTCAGGTGTACTGGGCATATAGGGCTAGACCTATACTTTATAGACCAATCAACACTTGGTGAGTGATGTGCTCAGCATTTATGAAGAAAAAAAAAGTCAGGCTTCATCAGGACCTGGGTCCACAGGCAAGCGTCTAGCTGCTAACCGACTACCGATTAGCATAAAGCCTGGTCAGTATTGAAGTGACTGTGTAGTGACCATGTGTTGCCCATGCAGTTGATTCCTCTGTTGGCCTTCCTTGTTTACTCCAGAGAAAAGTTAACACCGATATTTTGGAACAAAGCATGCTGCAGAAACTGATGGATTAGATCTTCTTCTTCTTCTTGTGTTCACTTGAAATAGATTATCCATATCTGCAATGTTGTCTCTAGTATGAACTTCATTATCTGTCATAATTCAATCAGCGACCTGTAAAGTTTGGCTTGAACCGGTGTTTCTCTTGGCCAAACGTTTTGCCTTGAAATTTTGCATTTGGAACAGTCTTGGAAATTCTGAAAATAAGTAGAACAGAAATTCTGAAAATAAGTAGAACACCTAATATACTAACTATTCAAGTTAACAACGAACAACTCAAACAAGTGCAGCAATTTAAATATTTAGGGAGCATCTTCACAGATGATGGAAGAATTGATAGGGAACTTGAGGCAAGATGTCAAAAGGCGAACGCAGTAACTTACCAACTCTCCCCACTGCTAAAACACCCAAGCATCACTATGGCACTAAAATGACAACTGATAAATTGCATGTTTATACCAACCCTCTGCTACCAATGCCAAACCTGGTCCCTAACAAGAGCACAGGAGAAAAAGATCACGACGTGCGAAATGAGATGCTTACGTAAGGCTGCCAATGTCACAAGGAGAGACAGAGTTCGAAACGAGAACATTAGAGCAATTGTAGGAACCACACCATACCTGCAATACATAAAGAAGCAACAAATAGAGTGGTTTGGCCACTTGATGCGAATGCAAACCGACCAACTGCCTCTACGAGCATACAACGAACAGCACTACTGCCCTAGAGCAAGAGGCAGACCGAGAGTACAATGATTAGACAATATATCAGAGATCCTGAAGCAACACGGACTAACAACAACACGTGCAACACACCTGGCCCAGGATAGAAAACTGCGACTCCCCACTACGCTGTGAGGCAATTGTGGACAAGACAAGACAAGACAGTTTTGGAGGACGTGATCTGTTGTCTCAGGTGCTAATCCACATATACATATGGCTGTGATAATCCACATGTACATATGGCTGATTCGCCAGTGCTGGATTAGATGAGTAATGCTGTCTGTCCGCCTGTCAGAGCTTCCCTCCTAGACCTGCTGCCAACCAAGGCTAAGGGTCTGTCTGGTCTGTCCAGTCATAACGTAAAGTTTACAAGGTTGCATGTCCTCATTTTAGGATAAGGATCCACTCCAATGTGCTCCCTTGTCCAAAGCCATTGGTATACTTTGTTTTATAATTGTGCTTCTGACTGTTGTTAACAGGTGTCAGCCATTTTGGAGTTACTGACTTACAAGGCTTAATGGAAGACACTCACAAGTTTGAAAGCAGATATTTAGATAACCTACTGGCTCCACTTGACAATGGAGGCCGAGAGATCTGCAAGCAGAGGTCACCAATTCACAACATTGATAAACTCAATACAGCCATTGCGTTCTTTCAAGGAGATGAAGATAAAGTAAGAACTTATTTATATTTTTAGTGCAGCATACACTTTCTTACAATTATTATGGAAAGTAATGGCAAGATATGGAGTAAGCGAACACCTCATCGAAGTGTGCAAAAATTTATACAGGGATTGTAGAAGTGTAGTTAGAATAAATCAGGGAACATCTCATCCTTTCACAGTGACATCTGGAGTAAGACAGGGGTGTGTCTTATCACCACTGCTGTTTATCACCTACATCGACAGTATATGCAAGAATGCCAAGCCCATGAATGAAGATCTTAGTAAGATCAGCGAATTACTCTTTGCAGATGACCAGGCCTTGATAGCAGATACAGCCATGAAATTGCAACAACATCTAACATCCATGAATGAAGAATGTAAAACAAATAATATGAGAATCAACACTGAAAAGACAGAAGTGATGTCAATAGGAAAAAAGAAGACAGATCTAAACATAGCAAAAGAATACAAAGGCATTAAACAGGCATCTGAGTTTAAATATCTGGGAACTACATTTACTGAAGATGGGAAATTGGATAAAGAAATTGACATTAGATGCAGTAAAGCAAACCAAGTATTGGGACAGCTAGCCCCCCTCTTACATCATAAGACAATCCCAATCAGCACAAAGAGACATCTTATTCAAAGCATATTTATTCCAACTCTGTGCTACCAGTGCCAGACATGGTCACTCACAACAAACTATAAAAGAAAATTAGTAACCACGGAAATGAGATGTCTGAGAAGGGCTGTAGGAGTGACCATAAGAGATAAGATCAGGAATGAGATCATAAGAGAACAAGTCGGCACAGAACCAATTCTGGATTACATACGAAGACAGCAAGTGAAATGGTTTGCCCACTTAGAGAGAATGCCTTGCGACACCATACCATACAAAGCATACATGGAAAGAGAAGAAGGACGTAGAGCATGGGGTAGACCAAGAACAAGATGGAAGGATAACATCAGAGAAATTCTACAACAGCACGATGTGCCTATGGTCGAGGCAGCCAGAAGAGCTAGAAACAGAACCTTATATCTCCCTCAACACCCACAGCGGTAAAAGAGGAAGTGAAGAAGAAGAAGATACACTTTCTTAGCTTCTGCTCATTGATAAAGGAAATGATCATTCTTCATTGTTGGTTGTTTTTTGTTTTTTTTAAATAATCCACATTTGTTTGGTTCAAACTCATGTTATGAAGGGTTTTACATATGTGAGTTTTTTTTTTTTTAAATTTAGTGTGTGTGGTATTTTTATTGTGTTATGTGTGATTAATTGTAAACTATGGGTGACTGGTAATTTATTGTATTCAGTAGTCTTATATTTGTTTTTTTTTTAAATGTGTATGTAAGTGAAAAAAGTAAAGGACCCTTTCCACGCCATTAGGTGTATAGGGCATATAGGGCTAGACCTATATTTTTATAGACCAATCGGCACAAGATGGGTGATGTGGTCAGCATCACGCCGGAAATGTATTTGTAGTTGCTTTTTTAAAAATTAATTGTACAAACATGTGAGGTTTTATATATTAAATTTGTGTTGGTTTTTATTTATCTCATCCTGTTGTAACATGTGATGTCATGGGAAAGTATATAAACAACAGGAGAGTGATCATTTGTGCCCATTGTATAAAGATGTTTGCAGGGACTCTGTTATTCCCTCTGCCCATCATTTACATATATGCCACTTTGCATATCCATTTGGTCTTTACGTAGTTGCTCATTGACGTATACTTTCTCTTGCCAGCCAAGAACTATGGGGTGAGAGGGGGCTTTAAATGAAAACCTTAAAATTGTGATGGGAATTAAATTAACCATACCATTGTCCTATAACCTGTCAGTATTGTTGAGGATGTCAAGAGTGTTAAGCGTGCGACACAAAGGTGCAGATGAACACAGTGACCTCATAATGACCGTTTAAAGATGGCTGCCCCAGTTTTTACATGCACTAAAGAAGGGCAGAGGAAGCCTGAGTGATTTAGTTGCTAGACGTTTCTCAACAGATCTAAAGATCATGGTTCAAATCCAAACATAGCCGGCCTTTTCAAAACAAAATGCCCTTCGCTCCCAGGTCGACTCAGCCTTGATACCAGGTAAAGTCCTGGAAAGTAAAGACAGCCCACATAATGTTGACCACATCACCAACCAAGTGTCGTTTATAAAATATAGCTCTAACATTATATCTTGAGTACACCTGAAGGAATGAAAACAGGCCCTTTACTTACTCCCTTACCTGTTTGGCTTATAAAATATAGCTCTAACATTATATCTTGAGTACACCTGAAGGTATGAAAACAGGTCCTTTACTTACTCCCTTACCTGTTTGGCTTATAAAATATAGCTCTAACATTATATCTTGAGCACACCTGAAGGTATGAAAACAGGTCCTTTACTTACTCCCTTACCTGTTTGGCTTCTAAAATATAGCTCTAACATTATATCTTGAGTACACCTGAAGGTATGGAAAAGGGTCCTCTGCTTACTTTCAATATTTTGTTACCTATTTTATTTAGTCATAAAAGAGGGGAAATTTTAAGGAAATTCATCAGCAAATGATGGTACAGTATGACGATGCATACCTATCAGTCCAGCAATTTTATGTGTGAAATAGGAGGTTTCCAACTGGTGTAACTTTTGTGACAGACTGTTCCAGCAAGTGCTTGACCCGGGCATAAACAGTCTGCCACAGAAGTAACGCCATTTTGAAACTTCCTACTCCACTCATACACCTGCTGGATTGACAGGCACGCATCATCATACAGGACCTGGTCAACCTGAGAACCAAGGTCAGTTTTTTTTAAGAAAAAAAAAACAAAGAATGTGAATTGATTCGGTTTCTAATTGTAAACCTTCGGGTTGGCAGGTGAGCGTCTGGCCACAAAATTATATGGCTCCCGAAGAATGAAAATGGCCTGTATGATGATATTGCACAGACATTTCGTTCATCACAACCTGGCGACACTAGACTACAGGTTATTTTGTAACCGTTTTGTGGTAGCCCAATATAACTGTGCTGTATGTCCGTACAGGGTTTGTAGCTGTTTGATTCTCATTCTTGAGATAAAAATCCTACAGAATGCAAATCTAGAGGGATTTAAAAAAAAAAAAACTGGTTTGTACAAATATACATTTAGCACAGTTTACCCAATATGCCTTTGAGGCACGGAAGAGCTCCTTTTTAATAGTTAAGAATATTAGTAATGTGCCCAGGGTGTATGTTTAGAGGGTTTCAAGACTACTACCCTAAGTTTATCTCCCAGAATACACCCTTTTCAGGCTCACATGCTGTGAATGAACTCCTCCAGTGTACGTATTGGCTGTTTGTAAGGTGTGTTTATGTTGATACTATGGGGATCAGATCACCAATTTCTTTCTTAAAAAACTGCCTCATTCATTGTTCTGGCATTCTGAGATCGGTATGAATCAGTTTTTTCAGCATCCCTTTAAAACAAAGAGAAATAAGTTTGTTTATAATATAATTCATTAATCTTTCTACAGTTTCTTCCTTTTTTCTCTTTTTTGACCTATTCCTCTCCTCCTTTCTTGTTGCTTCAGCTATGTCTTGTTTCACAACAGTTCTTTATGTTTGTTGCTTAAGATTATTTTGTTTATTCGTTGATAAAGACTGGTCATAATCATCAGTTGTATATGTGCTCATTTTTCCTTTCCCCTGGTTGAGTTTCCTAGTTTATGTAAACTCATTTTATTTTTATATTTCTTTGTGTGTGTTTTTGATGTTTTTTTTTTTGAGGGGGGGGGGGGGGGTGCGGCTGGGGAGAGATAGTAAAATGTGTGTACTTTAAGGAACAATCTCAAAGTAACCATGGTAGTTTTTGTATTTTCTCTTGCTGACCTACTCTTCCTTAGAAAGGTGGCACATCATTCATTCTTTACTTGATCAGTGTGAGTGTATTTGTTAAAATTAAACATTGGTATTCTTTTAGATTGTTCCACCAAGTCAGGCAGAGATGATGTACAATGCAGTTAAATCTAAAGGGCTGCCTACCATGTATGTCCTGTTTCAAGGTATGTTTTAGCCACTACATTACTATATTAAACTTGTGATATTACCCTAAACCTTGTACATTAATATGAACCTTATAACTACACCTTGAAACTTGTGTGCCATCTTGAACCTGAAGTGATGAAAACACGACTGACATCGATCAAGCTGATAACACTAAACTAATTCACTGAAATGTAACTAACAAGCTTAACAATAGGAGAAAAGGAAAAAACATCACATACATAGGAACAATCGGACGTTTCGACAGAAGCCGTTGTCAACAAACATGTGGTTATGGTGTTCATTGGTAAAGGGTTCCACTGAAATGGCAAATTGTTTCTATGTATATTTTTGTTGTTGTTGTTGCTGCTGTTGTTGTTGAAGCTTCTTATTTACAGTTCAGTGGATTAATACCTTCAGCCAAGAAGTGCAGCCACAGAATTGTAATGGCTAGTGCATTTGCCAATCTGCACGGTGTTGCTGACAACAGGCTCCTAACTTTATTTCATCTTGTAAGCGTTCAGTGGCAGTAATCATCATCAGTTCTCGTTATGCCTAGTGGCACATGAGGCTTCAGAGAGGACTTTCCATGCTTTCCTGTCCTGTGCTATCTTCAGTGCAGTTTTCCATGCCAAAGAGGCCGCACTCAGGTCACTTTCCATCGTTCGTCTCCATGTTGTTTTGGCCGCCCCTGTTTTCTCTTTCCCTCTGGTGTCCATGTGAGAGCTGTTTTGGCAGGTATATCAGAAGTCATTCTCATAACGTGGCCAAGCCATTTTCATCTTCTCTTGGTAATCATACTTTCTAAAGTTTCTTGGTTTGTGGCTTGAAGTAGTTTAGTGTTTGAGATTGTACCTGGCCAGAAAATTTTGATAATTCTACGTAGACATGTGTGGTGGAAGGTGGACAGCTTGTGTGCATCCTTTTTGGTCATTCTCCAGCATTCCGCTCCATAAAGAAGAACTGGCAAAATGATGCTCTTGTAGAGTCGGAGTTTCGTTCCTCTGCAGTAATTGTTGGATTTCCAGATTTGCCTCATCCTTCCAAAAGCAGCTCTAGCTTTGTTCAGACGTGACTGTATGTCTTCCTCTGTCCCTCCCAGTAGGGACACCACACTGCCAAGATACGTGAAATGTTCTACATTTTCAAGTGATTGGTTACTTATGGTCACTGGTTGTTGGTTTGAACTGTTTGTCATGATCTTAGTTTTCTTTGTATTTATTCTCAGTCCCAACATTTCTGCTGTGCAGTTTAGTCTGTTACTTTTCTCTTGTATATGTTCATGTTTATGTGAAAGGAGTGCTATATCATCTGCAAAATCAAGGTGCTCAAGCATGGTGAATGGAGTCCATCGTATGCCTCTTAATGTCCTGTCTACTGTGTTCTTTAGTATCCAATTAATCACAAGGTTGAAGAGGAGAGATGACATAACACATCCCTGTCTTACCCCCGTCTTTACTGGGAAAGATGTATTGTAATTTTTTATACTGCAGGAAAAGTCTTTATAGAAGAGAGCAATTATGTTGACTATTTTTTCTGGAATTCCATAATGTCGTAAAATTTTCACAGACCGTCTCAATGGACGCTGTCAAAAGCTTTCTCAAAGTCCACAAAATTAATATATATATACTTCTCTGCCATTCGTTGCATTGTTCTAAAATGTTACGTGTGGCGAAGATGTGCTCAGTTGTTCCTCTGCCCTTTCTGAATCCTGCTTGTTCCACTAGTAGGCATTTATCTACTCCTTTTTCAAGCCGCATTATGATGATTTTACAAAATATTTTGCTTGGTACTGAGAGTAGAGTAATTCCCCTCCAATTATTGCAGTCTGTTAAGTATCCTTTTTTGGGGATTTTGGCTATTGTTCCTTCAGTCCAGTCATCAGGCAACACTTCTTTTTCCCAAATATCCTTGAACAATGGTTCTAGAATGCTAGCAGTTGTGTTGGGATCTACTTTGAGAAGTTCTGCTGGCAGTTCGTCTTTGCCTGGTGCTTTGTTGTTCTTTAAAGTGTGGATAGCTTTAAGGATTTCTTGTTTGCTTGTTGGTTCAGTAATAATGTCAATGTCCTGAGAGGCTGGTTGAATATCTGGGGGATTTTCAGGATCAGGACTGTTTAACAGGTCGAAGAAGTGTTTAGTCCACTGCATATCTTGTTTTTGTTCTGTGGTGAGCAGTCTGCCTTGGTTATCTCTGATGGGTATGCTGTGATAGTTGTTTCAGTGGCAGTAAACTGTGGCAGAAAGTTCTGGTTGTTCACTCAATTCTGGACTTTGGTTTTGTTCCAAAACTTGAGTTTGGTGTACATTTCCATTTTACAGGTCTGGCTTATTTGTGTGCAGACTGCTGGTTCTTCCCCTCTCAGGCAGATGCACTCCAACTTCGAAGGAAATGCTCCCAATGAATACTGTTTGGTCAAGAAAATATGGGTCTAGCACTATATTTATGTTCCTGTGCCCTACTGGGGCTCATTAGGAAAGTGTAGATTAATAACAGTCATATTAGTAGGCATGGAAGCTGCTGTAGTCTGGTGGCTAGACGCTTGCCTTCTGATCGGAAGGTCGTGGGTACGTTCCTGACAGGGACCAGACTTTTAAAAAATAACCTTGGCTCTCAAGTCGACCCAGCTTTGAGTGGGTACTAGGTGCAGTCCTGGGAAATAAAGGAGGCAGGCGTAATGCTGACCACATCACCCACCAAGTGCCGTTTGGTCTATAAAATATAGGTCCAGCCCTATATACCCAATATGCCCGAAAGGTGTAGAAAAGGGACCTTTCTTTACTTTATATTAGTTTGCATGTAGGCCCTTTTGGAATAAGTTAACAGGGCAGAGGCACAAGTAAATCATCAGGATGGTGCAGCGGAGAGTGACGGAGATCTGGCCGACACTCAGCACTCATCAAAGTGCTTGGGACATTTTCATATGAGCTCTGTCCTCATCTTCAGCAGCTAGTTAGAGTTCCAATTCTGATAGTACCTATCTGATCATATGTTAGTCTTGCCTTTTCTCTGAGAGTAGAGCATCGGCCAAATTGCCTGGTCACTATCCGCTGCAGCATTCTTTCCACTCATAATTATCTGTTTGTGTTTCCGCATTATTCACTTTCTCCCAAAGGGCCTTGACCACATCTAGTTTGTCATGCATTAAGTCACCACAAAGTAGTGCAGAACCAGCCAGTCTGTCTGCCTGTTCATTTTCTAACACACCTGCATGCCCTGGAGAAAATATCTAAAGAACTCTAACTACCGGGAGGTCAGAATTGATATTAGAACAGTATATCTAAGTTTGTAATTTTCACATTTCTCGAGGCCAGCTCAGGGAAATCAATGCTTTAACAGTTAAATAATTGTTTACACATGAAGATAACCTATGCCTGCTCTAGATTGTATAGATTTATTTAGAAATTACCTTTGAGGATATGAAAACCCAGTACCACTCTTTCACATTCCACTGGTTTCCGAGGCTGGAGAGTGGAAGGAAGTCTCTACAACACATTCACTGTGGAGAGGATACTTTAGTACATGGTTAGGAAAAACCATCTCTACATCCATTAATTTAAGTTAAGAACATCAGCAACCAGTGCAAAGTTTCAGTTCAGTTGATACCATTAGCAGTCTGTATGTCAGTCTTGCCTTTCTTCCGAGTGTTCTTCGCCAGTCAGCTTTCTTCAGGTCTCAGATATTATGAAAGTCAATATATCACACCTAAAACTGACAATCTTCCAGAAGATTCACTGTAGTCAACCATATCTGGAGACAATGTTTGATGTTTACTATTTACTTATGTTTAACTTAGGTGAGCAGCACGGCTTCAGGAAAGCAGAGAATATTAAAGCTTCTCTGGATGGAGAATTTTACTTTTTTGGAAAAGTGCTTGGATTTGAACCAGCAGACAAAGGAATTGAGGTAGATTCTTGTATGATTACATTCTTCTCCTACTCCTCCACCTGCTGCTTCTGCTGCTTCTTCTTTTTCTTCTTCTTCTTTTCTTGTGTCTTCACCAGCTGTAACCTCCAGCAGAAAATCATGATAGTTCATCCACTCTGGACTTTGGTTTTGTTCTTCAGCTTAAGTGTTGTGTGCAGCTCCATTTTACAAATCTGGCTGTGTGCAGACTGTTGGTTTCTTATTTCTCTGGCAAATGCAATCTAAATTGAAAGGAAAAAGAATTTATCCTGTCTATCTTGGATGACTATGGAGAGGTTGAGGCTTGTGCCTCATGCACTACCACATGTTATTCAACACTTCTGCATCCCTGTGATTTCAATGAAACAGTCAGTTTCTATATTTTTAGAGTCTGCTACTGGTGTCTTTAACATTCCACTGAGGCATATTGCAAAAAATATTATGTTAGGCCCACATCTTCAGTGACCGAATTGACACACAGATGTAAATGTGTTTGAATCATGTCAGTTTAATTTTCCCCATGATAACTCCTTCAACTCCTTCTTGTACTACGATTCAATGAGAAATAAAGGATTAAAAACAAAAAATTATGTTTGGCCAATGGTGCTGCATCTATATGTTTATAATAGCTTTCAATGAGTGGTGTGGGGGGCACCAGAATACCAGAATGCAAGTTTCCCTTACTTCTCACACATTGTTGACCAAATCGCCCATTGGCTGGCTGGTAGACGACATGGTCCCGGTCGATACGGTATTTGGGTCTGTCTCCTTTGATCACATCAACACTGCAGGAGTCCTTTTCAGGGCTTTTGGTGGTGTGCAATGGTAAGAAATTTTATATAATGCACATAACTTAGTCACAATTATAACCTAAAGCTCCCCCTTTCAGGGATACTGGTTGAACGTGAGGATATTTTTGTTATTATTTTCTCCAGCAAAGCACTACCTAACTGGCTTTACTTATCACAACATTTGCTAGTACCATATTAAGCTGGACTGACCAAAGAGCACTGGTCAGTTATATAAAACCACAACACAGTCGTCTCAGACATATCAAATATTGAATGTATTATGAGGTAAGAACCAACATTAAAGCACTCAGGATATTCCCAGA